GGTGACGCAAACTTCCTCGACACCCGCGATATCCACGTGCACATGCCCGAGGGGAGCATCGGCAAGGAGGGCCCGAGCGCAGGGACGGCGATCGTGTCCGCGTTCGTGTCGCTTTTCACCAAGACTAAAATTAACCCTGACATCGGTGCGCCTTTTTTTCTCTCATGTCGGGGCGCTGATATTTATTTTTCCTCGCAGCGATGACGGGGGAGATCTCGCTCGTGGGGCAGGTCCTGCCTGTCGGTGGGCTGAAGGAGAAAATCCTCGCGGCGCATCGTGCGGGGATCACGACGATCGTTGCGCCCGGTGCGAATCGCGCCGACATTGAGGAGAATGTGCCCGCAAGTGTCAAGGACGGGATCCGCTTTGTGTACGTCGAGGATGTGCGCGAGGTGCTGCACGAGGTGTTCCGCGGGGAGCCCATAGTGGAGCGGTGGCGCGAGACGCTTCCTTTGGTGGCGCGCGAGCCTGTGCCAGCGAGCAGCGTATCTACATCAGACGGAAACTAATCTAGAGGTTTTTATTCTCCCTTGCTTTCTTATATACACCAAAACATTGTATTTTACATAGTGCACATCAACACCAGCTCAATTTGTATCGGTATAGGGCTTGTTTGAGGGGCGACTTACTAGATAACCTTTTGAAAGGCTTTCTCTTGTTTTCGAGGATGACATCTATCGGGCTTCGGCCGATGAAAGTTTATAACTAAACAAGTCCATTCCACTGTGTATCCTCTAGAACCACTTAATTAAATAATTTAATGATCTAGAGAAAAGCAAAGAGTCAATGAACAGTAGTGCCGAAAAATTAAGCAAAAAATCAGAACAAAAGTCGGCTGGAAAGCCAGCCAACTGCGAAAAAAGCCGGACATATATCAAGCAACTCCCCGCGCGACGCACGCGTCGCGCGCAAGCGTCATATGGCCCCGGCATATTTCATCACAGTATACGTTGAAGGGAAGACACTCACATGCCAATAAAATTACAATTGAGTTGATTGCGCATTATATTATGCCTCGCCTTCCTCGTCCTCGTCCGTGAGCTCTTCGCCCTGTCGCACACCGCGGTGCTGCTCGTAGCCTTCGCGGCGCGCCCAGGACCGCCCGTCGGTGTATGGGTTAATGCGCAAGGGGAGGATGAGAGTGTACAACGGGCTGTGGAGCAAGATGAATAAAACAATGAATAAAGCAGTACAGCAGGGCACGCACTATCCGTTTTCACCCACGTTGAAAAAAAGCTCGAGGTTGCGCCGTATCCTATATTGTCTATTGTGAATAGAGAAGATGGTTTCAACTGTCAACGGACGCACCCGAGGTCGTACGAGTTGACAAAGGTCTTGGAAAGTGGGCTGAGAAATGAAAACAGTACGGAATACGCAGAGGCGCACCTCGTTGCGCGCCTTGGCCATCTTGCGATACACCTCGTGGTCCTGCGACTCGACAGTCGTCTCGCCGTGCGCGACTGTCCAGAGGTGGTAGCTACACATGATGCCGACCGCGAGGGACATGACGACTGCCAGTATGTATATCATAATAAACGCGATCTGGGGTACGTGGTGCGGCCACTCGAGCTGAAGTAAAGTGGCTCGCATCATGAGCCAAGTGATGGGATTGAATTGCGCGGGAAAAGCACCTGAAACGTGGACCCCGCCCCGAGCGCTTGTAGGACTTGGGGCAAGCCCGTTATGCACAGCGAAAAGCACGCGATGACGAGGTACGCCATGAACATGACGAAATGGCGCTCGTTGTGCAGCCCGACGCATTGATTGACCCCTGCAAGAGAGACGATTCAGTGAGGACGAGTGGTAAAGCGACGGATACCCACACTGTAAAAGCAAATGAATAAGTAATTATATGATGAGGGCAGAATGGACGCACTGGGCAATGGTGGTCGTATTTGAGTACGCAGCGCTTGCATATTCGACAATGATGTGTTCGCTGTCTATCGAGTTGGTTCTCGCCGTATTGAACCCCAACAACGTTGCTTACCTCCGGCTTTTGTTGACCGCACTTTCGGCATTTGGTTACTGCGGCTCGTGTGATGACGAGTTCGTTAGACCACCGTACACCGGTCAGCTCCCCGTGCCTCGGTGCCTTTTTGGAGGCCCATAACATCCTGTTTGGTGCGGAATCGAGAGGAGGGTCGTCGACGAATCCGGGCGGGACAGTCACCACGTAGAAATAGTGCATCCAAAGGTTTAACGCGATGAGGACGCATATTGGACCAGATATAAGTGGCCACATGAGACTTGGCATTATTACATCGACTGTGAGCTTTTTAGCGATAGGTTTTGAAGAGAGAGAGGGACACCGACAAAAGCACACTGTACCCAAACTGATGAGGATGACAGCGAAAGCGACAAAGAACGGGCCAGCGGCGCCAGTAATTCTGTCGCCGAGCCTCTCTAATGTCTTGAAGCATTTGAATACAACGCGGGAACACATCATGGCGGAAAGAAAGCAAGAGCTCGAGGTGGGATGCATGTGACCGTTCACACCTTTTTCTAATTTTCTTCAGTCTAATTTCCTCCATGAATGCTTGTTTCGCGGCTGCTCGTTCGCGGCCGGATACATCGTCAGCACTCGGCCCTATGGTCAAAGCGATATATATCGCGCAAAAATGGGACCCAGCGTCGAGGATTGGCCGATGAGCAGCCTGTGTTGCCTCTGGACGCGGTAATCAAGCGGCTGACACCCGCGACGGCGGTCTCCTGGCCTGCCTTGCCTGAGCGCAAGGATGCGCAGGTTCTGGTGCGCGAGATTCGCGCTTGCATCGTCGCAAACAACATCGTTGCTGCCATGGCCATTCTGCGCGATGTACCCCAACCGTACCCCCGTCTCGTCGCTCATGCCGCCGTCCATGCCCTCTTGCGTGTCGGCGATCCTCATCGCGCGGGTGCTTTTTTGCTCTCCTTCGCCATCGGGCCGAAAACTACCAAGGCTAGGCCCCCCCGCATACACCCGACCACTCTCTCAGAAACAGTAAAGGCTCTCATTACATTAGTTCCCGCAACACAGGGCCGTCAGGACCGTGTTAGAACCGCCCAGGGCCCTCAGTTACTTGTGCTCGACGCCTACATGGTCTCAGATCCCGCGCTCCGCACCGCCCTTGCACTGTACCTCCAAGCGAGAAAACTCTTCGTCCCCCGCTCCAAGAGCATCACCGGACCCATCTGGAACGCCCTGCTCAACCACCGCGAGTGGATCCCCGCTGCTCTAATGCTCGATCTCCAGGTCAAAGACTTTCAGCTCCGCAAGACCATCCCCACTCTCTTGCATACCCCAGACCCCGCAGCCCCGCGCCTCACTCCCCACGACCGTGACCACCTTGGCCGTCGTCTCGACATCCTGCGGCGAGAGGATATGCGTGTGAATCACACCTTCTTCACAGACCTCTGCTTCCGCATCTCTGGTGTTATCTCAAGCCTCTTGAGTCGCCCGGAAAGCGGCCTCATGTCCCCTGCTCTTATTGAGGTCCTAAAAAAACCCAATACCTCGAAGCGCTTTCCTGACAACGACCGCGAAAACGGTCGCTTCGTTCGCAGCGGCGGCCCTCCTGCAAAAACCCCTCTTACTCCAACGCGCGCCAAACACCACGTCCGCGTCGCTCTCCAAGCCCTTGCCTTCCTCGGCGCACTTGTCGATAGCCGTTCCCTCCCCTTCGGTGATATCAGTGCGTGGATCAGGACCGTAGGAAGCGTGAGTGTATTTTATGCCCATCGTCCTATTCCTTGTTAATTCGCCACAGCTCCCACCCGCTCTAGATGCATATCACGTCTACACGATGGTCAAGGGCCGTCCCAAACTTGTGGCCGCCCGTGCCCACCTGCACACCGTCCTCGAGGCCTACGCCTTTGCCCTTCCTCGTGCACCGCACATCTATAGCCAATTCCCCTTTGGTTCCGGTGGCTTCATTCGGAGGGGACTCAAGCACAAGCGGCCGATTGCTGGCTCGCCTCTGCAGACGTCGGGAGCCGAGTCTGCCGTCGATGTGCCGCAGTTTACCGCCGCCGCGGTTCCCAAAGTCCGATTCAGTCCCCCTGAGGACCCCGTCGAAGCCGCTGATGATAGCTTTATGGCCCCGCCATTAATGCCCACCTACGAGGCCCTTCTGGGCGTGTTTCTCAACGGTGGCAACGCCGGCAGAGGCGGTGTCGGCCCTGGCGTGTTATACCTCCGATCAACTGCAGAACAGGCGGCCAGGTGGAATCGGGTGGCGGCGAAAGAAGAAGCAGTTCTCAAGGAGATGAGCGGATTCAAAACACCACCCGACTGTGGCGCCGCGACGGAGGCGCGCATCCACCAGCACTACCACGCGCCGCGCTCCCCAAACAATCCACATCCCCACGTCTTTTATCCCGAGCACCCGCTCGATTTTGACAAGTATCCCGCGCTGCGCGGCCCGCCCGTTGTCCCTCCACCCTCGCCAGGCTCCAGCCTGGGTAGCGCGTCGGTTGAGCAGCACCGCTTGCAGCTCACGACGCGTGTCCTCATGCATATGCTACACGAGCGCAGCCCGCCGCTGCCGCCGTGGGAGTCGCCTACAATGATGCGCCTATTGGGCCGCCGCACAGATCTTTTGCAGCCCACGCTCGAGGAGAGCGGGCTGTGGGAAGAGGTGTGGGATGGCGCGGCCCGGTACCAACGGGAGGCGGAGGTACACGCGTTCGAGGCGCGGCGCCTTGTTGCAGAGGAGTCCGTTCCGTGGGACCAGCACATTGACGACAAAGAGGAGTGGGCCGTGGAGGACAAGGAGACAGTGTTACAAGGCGACTCTTCAGAGTCGGAGGACAAAGAGCTAGACACATTCAATCAGCGTCTCGCCAAACGCGCGCGCGACACGGATTTTGAGATGTATTACAGTAACATCTGGTGATTTAGCTATGTCAATCCAAAATTTCCAAGGGTTGATGTATCGGAACCACGGTTGCAATTAATGGAAAAGGCGGTTCAAGCTGGTTGTGAACCAGACAATCGAAAAAGCATTACGAAAAGGCAAAAAGGGCCCAACCGGGAATTGAACCCGGGACCACACACATCAAAGCTTACACAATGTAAGCGGGAAAGACCCGAAGCGTGTATCATACGTCTAGACCATTGGGCCGATACCATGTTTCAACTTTCATGCAATATAATGCACTTTTCGATGGTGTATTACCTGTTTTTTTTTCTTTCTTCTTTTGGAGCGTTGAATAATGAGACTCAGTCTGCAATGCATTCCATGTTCATCCACTTGGGTAACTGATTTTTAATCAGTAGAAGCCAGCAAGTTGTCTATTGGGAAATGCCTATTATGCACAGTTTTCAGAACTTAGTATGGGACTCTAACCTGGGGATATGGCACAATATAATGGGTCGATATATTGCAAGTATATATTCCTGGTACCGGTAACGGACCCAGGTCTCAGACGCGAATTGTAAAATCTCCAAATCACGACCATCAATGATCGCATCAACGAAATCCTCAAAATTAATTAAATGTACGCTCAAAAAACCCTTTCTCAGCCTCCTGGCCCGATGCCATCAGTGGGATTCTCGATATTAAATAGATAAATAAATATCTCAAAAACCTCTCCCAGTCCCCTGTCTCCTGTCTGTCCCCCCGAAACTGATGTATGGCGCCTGCAACCTGGTCATCGTCACTCGCCCTTCCCTCTTCCCTTACTGCACTTCCTGCTGTGTCGTCTTCAGCGCTAGCCCCACCCACCGCCTACAATAAAAAACTAAATAGTGAGGATAAATCCTTTTATGGACCAAAAACAGAGCCGCTCGGGCACTCTCGCAGGTGTGCGCCTCGATCGATCAAATGGTAGATACAAACTCATTTACTCATCGGCATGCCTATTTAGAACTTCAAGGACTCCCATCCCCAAACTTCGAGAGACAAATGCCATTTAAATCTCGGTCAGACCCCAAATCTCTCTTCAGACCCTTTGTTTTCAACTTCCATTCTCGCGGAATAAAAAGACCAGATTTGCCATCCATTGAGCCATCAAAGTCCGAACCGGGGTTCTTCAACTCTGCCGTCGCGATTTGCTAGGAGAATTTGCTCAATTTATGCTAGTAAATACTTCGCATTCATGAAAAACCTCTTCTGGAATGCATACCAGCATCTGAATTGTTTTGTGATTTGAAATAAGTCGGCCACCAGTCGCTCGATCGAGGTTTACAACAGAGTACAACATGTGAGGTACGAGCACCATTTTGTTGTAGCGTGTGTAAATGAGACTAGCTCGTACCTCACACAAATAATAGCATGGCCCCCTGTTCATTAATTCAAGGACAATATTGAATCCAAAAGATATTCCTACTGAAAGCGACTTTCCTCTCCATTAGAAACTCAAACAATGAAGATTCAACGCTGTATTCATTCCCAAATCAAGTCTGGCATCTGCCGGCTCAATGTGAGCTGGTCACCGCTTGCGCGCACGCGCAAGCGGGGACCGAGGGAATCTTTGAGCCATTTTCAAGTTCCTCGGAATATGATATCATAGAATTGGCAAAAAAATCTGGTGTATGGGTACCTGGTCCGGAAAGAGGTACCAGGGGTGCCCGGAGGGCCTTAGTATTTCATATATACTGAGAATATACGTGCAATATACTGGGCCAGTATATACTCATATATCCTAACTAAATCCTGAGTATATACAGGGTCCGTATGCTCCGTATATTAGCCAATATACTGAGTATATTGAAGAAAAATACCTTCCTGTAATGGTAATATTTTAGTGGTAACAATTCCAAGGTGCCAGGTAGAGCCTGGATACCCTGATTCCAGAGCACATTCAATACTAAAATGTACCCACATCTCTCATAGACTCGTTACCAGTCTGCCCTACAACAGCAAATCTTAGTGCAAGCACTATGCCATAGGCAGACTGGTACAACTCGGGACATGTCAAAGGGCTGAACCCAGAGTTTGAATTCTTTGATCTTGCTTGTGCTGGACTCAAATCTTATTATTTTTTCTTAGTCAAAGCTGGAGATGCAAATGGAATGTACATAGCTTCATTTCTGTCTACTCAGAATTTCCATCTAAATCTGTGGGCGGGCCAAACACACAGGGTGATTTTATTTGAGAAAGTTAATTTTTGGACCAAGATCACCGAAGATAACTTTGACGACATGATTGGTACCACTCAAGAATTTCAAACTCCGGGCACAGCTAGGGTTCGTAGAAAACCCAAGTCGACAGAGAGTGGCAGGAAGGTTTTGTAGAGTTAAGGTATCCGGTGGGTTTCGCGTTACTACTTCTACCAATTCCTCTTCATGTTCGTTAACCCGCTCATACAATTCCTCCGTAGACTTGATGTTTTCCAGAACAATTATAGTGCTCCACGCAATAGGAGCTTTGCGCATAATCAAGAAGACCTCGAGTGGCCCTCCATTATCCGTATTGGCTAAAAGACAGACATACTGGGTTCGGCAGCTTAGGAATTTTTGAGGTGACTCTTTCTCGTGCCCTGATTGTCGAAAGGACTGCTGCTCAAATTTGAGATTCATCCGTAGCTGCCATCTTTTGCCCAGATACCGGTCCTTTATAGTCTGTAGGTAGACCAGATAGTGACTTCTCATCTGTGCTTGACGGGATGTAGGCAAAGTAGCGAACCATAATTGAATTTGCGATCCTTGTTTCAACCTCGAAGGTAGCCAGAAGCCAAGCGCTCGGGGGAGCCATCCCAAGAGATTTGCGACTTGGCTCACTTCCCAAAAATAGTCAATAGCCGTCTCGTGATTCCTGTCCCATTCTGGCAACAATTCCACCTTGATTTTGGGCTCGATTGTAGGTACCATGGTTCTATATGGAGCCCCTGGCACAATATACAGGAACCTATGGTCTGAAGGTCCACTACTACTACTGCTAGAGCTTCCACCTCCAGGATCTGAAGGAGGTGCACCAGGGGGAGAGTGCGACCTGCCTCGCCTCAACCGATCGGGAGTTTGTTGACGTCTGGGAGGAGGAGGGGAACGAGGACCTCTCCTCCCTCTTTCAGGTGGATCTTCGTCCCCACTGCTGTCGTCAGACGGATCCCCGTCTCCCCCTGCTCTGGACCTCAGCTGAATTGGATCCCTTTCCCTTCTTCCCCTCACGCCTTCTCGGCGCGAGCTAGGGAAACCACTATCCCTCGCACCAGTTGAAGGACGAGTAGGATTGGAAGGTGGCAGGTCACTTCTTCCTTCCCTCTGGTCTTTTCCTGCTTTCTCATTTCGATCTTTCTTAGAGTCCGAATGAGGTGGAGGATCTCTTCTCGCGTACGCAGTGTGGAAAGACTCCTCGTCTACTTCAGACACTCTTTCCAATGTTGTACGTTGAACTCGAGCTTCTCCACACGGAGGTACGTATGGGTCATACCTGCCTTTTCCCTTCGCGGCCTGGCTAATGGATTCATTTGGAATAGAATAGGTTTGACTTGAAGCCATGCCCTGTAAGGGATCCGGAAGATGAGGACCCGGGATTGAAGTGGCATAGGTAGAGTCTCTCGGAGAGGTAGGGACAAAGAATTCCACTCCTTTTTTGAACGGAGTACCCGTACTAAGCAATCCTTCTGTTGGGGTAGGAACATTCCAATGTCTAGTGACGCCCTCTCTAGAATCCTGCAAAATTTCCTCTCCCCTCTCTCCCGAGGGGGAACATCATCTCTCTCTCGAGCGGGATCTCCTTCTTATTCTTTGAGGTGTGACTCCTTGATCTGAAGGGAGCTGAAAGTCTGGTCCAGCTCCGTGGCTAGATCGTGGGGAGATTGAGATTTCTTTACGTTCTCCTTCGGCCGAATAGTAGACAGTGGAGGGCTTATCCTCCGGTCTCCTGTCAGGAAAAGCTCGTTCCAAATATCCTGGCGTGCCCAAGACGTGAGGCAACCAGTCTGTCTGTACTTGATACCCCCTTGGCCAAAGCTTGCGGAGATTTGGTACTGAATCATACAAGTAGCAGACATCTTCTATGGACGTTTATTAAATCCTGTGCCCAAAGCTAGCATCAGAACCAACTGAGCCAAAAGGCCACTGTAATCAGGTTATTCTGATTACAGGCTTTGGACTATATATACATGATTAAACACATTTAGCATGCATTTAACAGTGCCCCCCCATTAGGCACTGAGCCCTCGAAGTGCGAAATGATCCTAGAATGGATCCGAGATGACCCGGAATGGGTCGGAACCAGCCCGGAAAGGGCCGGAAAATGGGGCTGAAACCCCGAGTCCATATGGGAGTTGGAAAGTCTGCGATCAAAAGTCCGGGATCAGGTCTGGCGGACGATCGACGGACCTGTGACATAAGCGGAAAGGATGGCGGAGTTTGAATTAGTCTGCCACAGAGAAGCAACTGTAAACAAACCCCGCACAAACCACAATGGCTCTCTTCGGCGCACTGCGACCCGACCCGACCCTTGAAAATATATCTTTACCTCAGATAATCACTTTTACGCGTCTTTTGGCTATACTCAAACAAGATATCATTCTTTGCCAGCCTATAAATGTTTCTACAACAATCGCTCCGAGTATTTTGCCGCCATCGGTTGCCACCTTCATTTCCGACGCCACCAACATTCCACCTGGGGCTGTACTTGCCTGCTGGATACTTTGCAAGGATGATGCATGGTCTATGCCTTGCCCGCAGCTGTCTGTAGAGGAAGAGGACTTATTCTGCATGCACGGCTGGAAAGTGGGCCTAAGTATGTCTGTCCGCTGCCTAGAGGAAATTGTATAGCTAATTCTAGATCTTGGTAGCGTCTCTTATGCTCTATCCCCCTGTACAGCAGTGTCAGAACTTACACTGCTCGCGGAGCAATCCACTCAAGAAAGCTGAACAGCGTCAGATTGTTGTGTACACCTTGGATCGCGGAGTGGTGCCTGCATGGGCAGTCCACCTCTATTGCCCTGACTGCAAAACAAATTATCATCACAACTTTTCTGTCCATGCTGGAACCAGGACGTACTATGGTGATACACCACAATATATCCAGATCGGTGAACATCAGTTTGCCGAGCGCAAGCTTATTGGCATGTGGATTACTATGATGCTCGTTGCATGGTATGTTCTGTATTTTGGCTATAACTTGTGCTTATCATGAATACAGGGTTTCTGCTAGCAACTGTGCGCGTT